TGGAGACTATTGCACTGTCGGCGGTGAGACATTTTTTATTTTTGAATTGAACTCGAAACTGACTTTTGACCTTCCCCATTAATTCTGTTGTGCAGATTTTTCGGTGATAGGGCTCAATCTCTCGATCTTTGAACTCAGAGCTTGTGGCTACACAAGACTCATTCCCTTTTTTAAAAATACGGTTATACGGGTACAGTTTTCCCACACTTCAGCAAATAACTGTTTATTATTTCAGTGGCAATTGAAAGCGGATGTCGTTTTGAGTCCGGATATCCCCTTGGCGTATCGCATCTGGTGGAGAAGTTGGCATTTGGGGTATGTTTTCGTTTTAAATTTAATTCTTTCAGCATTCCGTTCTTTTTTTCTCTACCTATTTATTTATATCTCACTATTTATGTACATCGGCCCGTAGAAAACTCACGGTAGAAGCACGTTGCTTAACATCTCAAAAAAATAGCCTTGATGAACAGTCTCAATAAGTCCAAAGGAAAGAGAGGGACATCATCAAGAAGAGCTTCACGAAAGCTGAGGGTGCGCTACGAGGGAAGGGGGTATCTTGCTCTTTTACTATTTCCCATCGACGTGTCGAGTTATCAAATGGAAACCTGTGAAATCTAGTGAAGCCACGTAATGATACCCGCCAAAGTTCGTAGAGACCACCTGACAACTCTTGTAAGGAGTACCCGGTACTCTTGTAAAGAGTACGTCAACTGTTGTCCGTAATGAAATTTAATTCATGAGCCTTTTAATGAGCTTACAGGAGTTGACAGTTCTCACCAGAGTAAGACCTGTAAAGCGATACCCGTGTAGCAACGGAAGTGTTAAATGCACCCCCTCCCCCTCGGCCCCGTCGCCGAACTGCGCCAGCTGAGGCCACAGCAAGAGGAACGTTAAATGGGAAACTGTTGAGACGTCTTGCGTGTACAATGGACCCCGCGACGGCGTGGGATCAGGGCTAGGGAGAGGACGAAAACAAGAGTCCATACAGTTCGCGTCTTTATGTCTACCTAAGGCAGCGTTCAGACTTCGCGACGACAGCGGTTCGCGCGCTCATTCGAACGATCGATGCAGCATGCTTTCGAGACTGGCATTGAACTGCGCGACGAAGCGCCGTCGCGAAAGTCTGAACGCTGCCTAAGTATTTTCAGAATCAAAAATATTTAATAAATGATTTAGTCAACATCACGGCACTCATCCAGAGATGAAATTTACGCTGTGCTGCAGCAAAATGGAGGTCTGATTGACTGTCAGAGCACGAGGGTGGGTTTTCGAAAGTCATTCTTAGTTGAGTGCAGTACTGTATACTTTGTTCCAGGACACATTCATTTATGCTGCAAGTTGCCATGTGACGGGTCTTGAAGCTGTTCTGGAAATCATATGCCATAGCCATTGGGCGACACAGACTACCTGAAGAAGTGAGTCTTTATTTTTTTTTCAATTTCTTGTCTTCCCAACTCAGGAATGATAATTTAGCTGGAAGAGGCCAAAATGATAGTACAGTATGAAATTGACGATATGCCTAAGAAAATCGAAAGCACGGAACCATTAGTGACTGACTGGCTGCATATGGTGGGTTTCCTTTCCTTTTTTTAGTACAGTTGCAGTGTTTTTTTTTTCGTTTCTACCGCGTTAGTACTTATACTTCGCGTAACTGGAGTATTCGCGGAACCCTGAGTATGTGCGCTCGTTCGCGCTTCTTAGGTACCTTTTTCATCTTCTTTCTGTGGGCGATTTGCTTTGTTCTCATTTTTCATGCTTCTTTTGTATCTTCAGGTACTCCTAATCTACAAACTTCCTACGTTTATGGTCCTCATTGTCAAGGGTAAGTACCCCGTTAACAACTGTCCTATTGTCCCATACTGTTAGGCTCTATTCGTTCCAACCTATAAAATCTTGGCTTATGTCCGAGTATGATGATCAGTACACAGCATGGAATTCCTTGATTTATTGCGAAAAGCTCCAAATAATCTTGGAACCCTGAGAAGCTCTCGGCTTTATTTTCGTGGTAGCTTTCTATTTGAAATCGCGCTCTGGCCGCACCATGCATAATAAATTCTATGAAGATTCGTCTTTGATTTTCAGGCCGCTTTTCGGGACAATACGCTAGGTTTTTCAAAGTTCACGACGGAAGACGGTCTTCAAAAAATTACTAGGCAACATGTAAACTCGTACATCAGTCAGTACCACGCTCCAGAACGTATCGTGGTCGCCGGTAAGTTTGATGTTTTCTTGAATTCGGCTTAGTATCCTATCGATTCTTTTCAGGAGTCGGTGTGAATCATGATGAACTGGTGGCAGCAGTTCAGCGACATTTTGGAGTTGGAACTGCAATGTGGGACAAGAATCCCGAAGTGCTTCTCCCAAAACTACCTCAAATTGATCGTTCTATTGCTCAGTACACAGGCGGGGAAGTGAGGGTAAGAATTTATACAAATAGTTGAAATAAAAAAAGTAAAATTGGTTGTTGTCAAACGCTGGATATAGCGCCCATTTGGATTCCTATGGGTTGTAGCATACAAACGTTACAAAAGTATATCATTTCAGTATTGGAACAATCCCTACAAACGCTTCCCAAAATCAAAAGGCAAATAGGGTTTTGTTCAGAAAGTCAAGAGGGAGGGGGGGGGTGTAGAGTAGAAGTTGCTATTTGTGCTATTTGTATGTAGTGCAGTCATACTTGTTGAGGATAAGGGACACTTCACTCGCCCAGGATGTTAGGAAGCTGCCCTACTTTAGTATTGCAGGTCTTCCTTTTTGTAAATGAAGTCGGAATCCATGTAGAAGTTGAGTCTGTAGTGTTCGAGGAGAACTGGCTAACGCTGGGGCTCTTCTTGACGTTGCTGAGTTATTTACTTCCAGATACAAAAGGATCTGTCAACGTTGGCTATTGGTACACCGTACCCGAATCTTGCTCATGTGGCTTTAGGTTTCGAAGGAGTTAGTTACAAGTAAGTAGTGTGATCGGTTCCCCTCATCTTTTTGAGAAATTATCCACTCCTGCTTTCAGAGATCCAGATTTTGTTGCCTTCTGCGTACTACACATGCTTCTTGGAGGAGGTGGCTCATTCTCTGCAGGTGGTCCTGGAAAAGGAATGTACACGAGGTTATACACCGACGTCATGAACAGGTAAACAAAGCTGCAATTGAAGGCAGAGTTTGCGCATGGCTTGATTGGTACTGCAGTCTTTCCTTGTGGCCGCTTTACTGAAGAGTACTACTCAACAAGACATGCACAGGTGCCAATCGGCCTGAGCGGTACCAGACTGTATCGGCTACCTCTTGGGCGCAGCTTCTGCCTTCTAGTACTGTCGTAGTGCGTAGAATGTCCAAAAAACCATGAAGAGATAAATAAGAAGAGAATACTGTACATTGTAGGTGCCACTGGATTTATGGTGCTACAGCTTACAATCATTCATATGCGGATGCTGGATTGTTTTGCGTTCATGCCAGTAGTGATCCTGAGCAGGTAATTACTGAAATGTTCTTCCCTACCTGGTAGGATGCATGATCGATGGGAATTCACCATCAGCGCGGTCGGGGAGGGGGGAGGTGTATTTTAGCTGATAAGGAAAGAGATTCAGTTTGATGAAACTCTATTTTTTATGTCCCATGTTTGCCATAAGTTCCTTCCTTGGCTGGATGGTGATGACAAGGTTTTATCATTGATGGGTGATGTTCAGTCCATCCAAGGCACGGCGTAGGCTAACAGAATAGGTGCTAGTTAGATGACTTGTCCGCCTTGCCGTCTTGAATCAACTGGGTCCCGGTGCGAATATCGCGCATGGTTGCTCCTCTTCTCGCTCTCGTTACCACCTGGACTGGACGTAAGGATGCAGAACGTACCACCCGGACTGCATCTTGGTAGTTCGTCTACCACGGAACATTTCTCACAGCAAAAGTTAGGGGCTCGAATTTGGAGCGTTTTACCCATTGCGACAATATGTCCTGTTCATAGGTCTGTGAGCTTGTAGTGATGTGAGCACCAGATGGTCCAACCCACAAGCTCGACCCACTTGATGTCAAAGCGACTGCGCTCGAAGTTCTGCGCATGGCTGAAAGTAAATTCACCTTTTCCATGAGGAGGCAGTGTTATGCTCCCCGACGCCTTCACTACAGTCGTCAGTAGGGTAACTAGTGTGCAGGGTTGTAACTCTACCTTCTGCAAGGTAAGAGGGTGAAGTATCTGTTAATAACCAGTGGGACATTCTTATACGAGTTCTAAACGGGAAGCGCTGCGCTAAATGCGTACAGTCCTCAACAGCCGATCGCGTTGACGTGGATTTTGGTGCGCCGCCAGCCTGTTTTTTAACGGCTGGCGTCAAGTGAGGCGAGCAACGATTGGTGGAAAGAGGGCTGGCGCCGCCCTGTAATGAACGTCACGCTGACACGCTCTTCGATCCGATTGTTGTGGACTATACAGTGACTCAGTGTGTTTTGCACGTTGACGTCAAGAAAGTTATGCCGGTTGCCCTTTATTTCAATAAATGCACGTTACAGATTAATGACGTCCTTGTTATTATCCTTGACCAATTCTTTAAACTGCTCAAAGGCGTTGAAAAGGAGGAACTAGAAAGGTATGCCACTAATCTTCAAGAAAAAGTCTCATTACGTAACCATACAAATAGAGTTTAGGGCGAAAATTCAACTCAAATCTCAATTAATGATGAATCTCGAAGTACGACCGGTGATGTTTGAAGACCTTGCTCGTCAAATAATCGGTCATGGCTATCGGCGGAAGCCTCAAGAGTATTTGGAGAAAATAGGTAGGGTTTTACGTCCGCTTCCCTTAGAGCGCGTTCATACTTCGCGATTGTTCGCTGGAGCGATTGGATTACGCGATAGGGTACAGAATCGTTGTGTGAAACACATAGGGGGTTCGTACTTTTACGCGGGGAGGGGGTCGTATATGGTCTTGGAGAAATTTGCCGATTTGCCGCTTTGTTGACCTTTCGTGTGGTTTTTCCTGTTTCATGTGTACTATACCCGCACCACCAGCACGACAGCAAAATTTTTGAGGAAATGTAGGAAAGTTTTCGAGAACTTCTAGAAAAAAATGATAACAAGTTGGAGAAGATCTAAGACATTTTCTCGTTTCACATTGGCTATATACCCTCTCCCCCCTCCCGCTCGACGGGCGGGGTTATACCGAGACTCTCTTTTAGGTTAGTGGGGGGGGGGGGTCGTACTGACACCAGCATTTCACTCATCACGATGCTGTACCCTGTCACACGATCCGAGCGAGTCCTAACGAGAACGTAGAGACCAAATGAGGTAAAACCTCCTATTCATAATGGTAGGGAAGAGAAACCATCTTCCAAAAACCTCAATACCTATGTAACACAGCTTGTTGCGGAATATTTTGGGTGCTCAGTATGGGCCCTTCCAGCTCAGGCCCATAGGAAACTTGGGTATGCTTCCAAAAGGCACCCTCTATTTATGCGAAGGTGCTGAGGCACTCGGCGTTGATTAAACCCCTCCTCTGGGATGCTCCGCGAGCTAGACCCGCGAAACCTCGACTTCCGATTCAGGAATGCTAAGTAGCATCAAGGTACACATTGACTTCTACGAAAGAATTTTCTGGAACCTCTTATGGTAGCTTTCTTTCTTATTTAGGTACGGAGTGTGACTTTAATGTAGTTATATGTTCAACTATTAGCAGCTAAATTTTCCATAGAATTCCTTGTCTAAAGGTGTTTCGCTTCTGTTGGCCGAGGTACAATGAAGCAATGTGAACGTTTCTGTTGTCGCGGGTCTCACAAGCTTTGCCGCAGTTCTGTTGGACTACGGTCTTTCTGCTTGTACGATCTGTCTCGACCTCTCTGCTGAAGGCGAGTTGAATGGGTCGCTTCTGTTTAGCCTCGAGGTCACTCTTCATAGGTTGATTCGCGATTGGACATCAGTGCTTTTGGCCCGTCCCCATTTTTGCTGTTTTTGGTGCAAAAATACCTCGAAAGATACAGGGTCTTGATCTAGGTCTGAGTATGCATTTCGTGTGTAATTCATGGGCTGTGCTAAATCACGCTTTCAGCTGCTGGGCTTTTCCCCTACCATACCCTCTGTCTACACATGGTGGCCGCAAATTACGGTAATAAACTAAGGGAATCATGGAAAACCATATAGCTGAAAAGCTGCTGGCATCTATGATTGACAATTTTTTTCTGAGGATTATCTTACAATAAACAATTTTAATTTTCAAATTAATCGCCGTCTGCTCTTTACAGGAGCGGTCGTTTAGTGAATGTGGACCGCGCTGTATAGGTGGACAGCATAGAGCTTGTTACAGTCTTCCCTGCCCGCTTCCTTTAACTCGTCGACCCTTGACGATCAGAGCACGGTTTCGTCCCTAACTTACTCCGCACAAAGTAATCCACTTGTTCCAAATCAAGCGAAGTTAATGGCTGCTCCACAAATACGATGAACTCTGAAGAGTTCTGTTAGCATCCATTTCTGCATTCCTCGCTGGTATGCTTGGGTATTCTTTCCAAAGACTTACGGGGCCACTTGAACTCGGTCCTTTTACTCGCGTCAATTTTCTGTTTTTCAACCGACATTTCGCGTCAAATTTCTGTTTTTTCTCTACACCTCGCATCCGTTTTCTGCTTTTTTTCACCCTCTCTCGTTTGCACGGCGTTCCATGAGGACTAACCCCACATATTCCAACTTTTCGCATGTGGGAAGTGGCTCACTCACCCCGAACTCCCCTTCTCTTGAAGAAGCCTATGCTGGTTGAAGCCACATGTTGCTTCGTACCTATAATAACTAGGCTTCAGTAGTGG